AAAAAAAAAAAAAAAGGCTAAACTGAGAAGAGGAAATGAAATATTTTAAAACCTAAAGTAAGCACACAAAAATAGAGTAATCAATGGAAATACATCATTACACAAAATTCTCAAGTTATCCAAGGGTCCCACACTCCGCTATGAAGTCCACATTTATAATGAGAGGGCTACTCTTGACCCTTAACACCTTCAAAGCACAGAAATGGGGACTTAAAGTCTTGGCCCTTGACCTGTGTAATGAAACCTAAGATCCAGAGTAATCAACTCAAATCCACATTACTATGTGTGTGGCAGAAATATCTTGGCCTATGTCAGTTGTGGTTCCCGAGGGCTGTTGATGGGATAGGCACTATGTCTTATTAATGGTATTAATTAAATGTCCAAAGTTTTATAATTCGTGTCTGGGCCAAATTATTAGGTGATAATGGCAGCAGCCTCATCCCTATACTCCACACCTCCTAACTCCAGTGGTGTATGTTAAGGATTTCTCACTTTCAGCATCTCTTCTCCTTCCTTCTCCTACTCTCCCAGTATAGCCCCTTCTCCCCTACTTCTTCCCCATGGTCCATCAGTACTTTCTACCTTAGCTCAACTTCTATGCTGCAAAAGGAGAGTAGAGTTATAAGACTTACCATGAAAATACGGGCAGTGGTGGGGAGCATGATGGTCAAACATGGGTAAGAAATTGTAGCTTGAGTACCATCTAAATCTCAGATATCCCTTCCAGAGTGTGGGATGTAAATACAGGTGAAATGCTGAATACGTTGATTCACCACTGTGAAGCAGTTCTGCACCTGCGTTTCAATAATGGCATGATGGTGACCTGCTCCAAAGATCGTTCCATTGCTGTGTGGGATATGGCCTCCCCAACAGACATTACTCTCCGGAGGGTACTAGTTGGACACCGAGCTGCTGTCAATGTTGTAGACTTTGATGACAAGTACATCGTTTCTGCATCTGGGGATAGAACTATAAAGGTAATAAAGCATTTTTCAGTAAGAATAGGGGAATTTATGTGAAGATTTGATAAGGGCAATTCATATTTTTTTTCCTTTTCCTTGAGGGACAGTCTTCCTTTGTCACCCTTGGTAGAGTGCCATGGCTCATAGCAACCTCAAACTCCTGGGCTCAAGCGATTCTCTCGCCTCAGCCTCCCAAGTAGCTGGGACTACAGGTTCCTGCCACGATGCCCAGCTTTTTTTTTTTTTTTTTTGGTTGCAGTTGTCATTGTTGTTTTAGCTGGCCCACACTGGGTTTGAACCTGCCAGCCTTGATGTACATGGGTGGCACCCTACCCAATGAGCTCTGGGCACCACCCTCACGGCTTTTTCCTTTTAGAGACAAAGTCTCACTCTGGCTTAGGCTGGTCTCGAACCTGTGAGCTCAGGCAATCCACCCACCTCAGCCTCCCAAGTACTAGGATTATAGGCATGAGCTATCACGCCTGGCCACAATTTCATGTTTAAACATCATCATAGAATAACAGAGTTTTTAATTAAGAGACAAGTCTACATCTTAAAATGGTAATAAGTGATACACGTTGTTCAACAATTTTGACTAGGTATTTTATTTCTACAAATAATGGTGAGTACACGAAGAGCAGGAGTAAATTTAGGTTCAAGAAAGTATATCGGCTCAGCACCTGTGGCTCAAGCGGCTAAGGCGCCAGCCACATACACCTAAGGTGGCGGGTTCGAATCCCCAGCCCAGGCCCGCCAAGCAACAATGATGGCTGCAACCAAAAAATGGCCGGGCGTTGTGGCGGGCGCCTGTGGTCCCAGCTACTTGGGAGGCTGAGGCAGGAGACGCGCTTGAGCCCAGGAGTTGGAGGTTACTATGAGCTGTGATGCCATGGCACTCTACCCAGGGGGATAGCTTGAGGCTCCGTCCCAAAAAAAGAAAAAAAAAAAAAAAAGAAAAAGTATATCCAGAAGAACAGACAAACTCCATAGAAGTGAACCAATTTGAGGAATTCTCATATGATAGCAGCCAGTTTACAAAATTCATATATTTTGTTTGAGAAGTTGACTTCACCCTAATGGTTCTGTCCTATATTCTGCTTCCCTAAGATTATAGAGGCCATAGATTTTTTTCCCAGTAAAAGCACCTAATCAATTCCTTGATGCTATTATCTATTTCAGGTATGGAACACAAGTACTTGTGAATTTGTAAGGACCTTAAATGGACACAAACGAGGCATTGCCTGTTTGCAGTACAGAGACAGGCTTGTAGTGAGTGGCTCTTCTGACAACACTATCAGGTGAGCAGCAGGTGCCCTTTCCCAGAAATGATGGTTATTATCCTCCCATTCATTATTTGTGCCCAGAACATACCAGTGTTCAACTATGTTATATTTATAATCATCTGCTCTTCCTTTCTATAGCTTCTTACAGGTCAAAAGTTTGCCTCAAGCAGAGAGACAGTACAACAAAGCCTTTTGCTGATGTGTTTTTTTTCCCCTTATAGTTTTATCACCAGCTAGACCTATTTCAGAGGTTCTGCTTATATGAGGAAGTGAGCAAGAAGGACAGGTAGATTGAAGTTGAAGGCCCTTTTAATTTCTCTTATCTACAGTTTAAAAGTGCTAATAAATTCGGGCATTGCCTATGACAGTGGGTAGGGCGCCAACCCTATATATCGAGGGTGGCAGGTTCGAACCTGGCCCCAGCCAAACTGCAACAAAAAGTAGCTGGGCATTGTGGTGGGTGCCTGTAGTCCCAGCTACTCCGAAGGCTGAGGCAAGAGAATTGCCCAAGCCCAGGACTTGGAGGTTGCTATGAGCTGTGATGACAACAGCACTCTACTGAGGGTGATAAAGTGAAACTCTGTCTCTTTAAAAAAAAAAAAGGTGCTAATAAATAGCTAAAGGCCACTTGTCTTTGCCATTGTTTTTAAAAAAAGGAAAAAGATTTGTTTCCCTACTAGAAATTTTGCAGCTTTGTCTTAGCATTACCTAATTGGCCAGAGAATAGTAACCTGTCTTTGAAGATTCCATAATTAAAGTATTTTTTGGTGTTTTTCCTTCGTAAATATGAATGACACAGATATGATTAGAATTTGGAAGTTTTATCCATCCATCCTCTCCCTTCCTTCATTGAAGTACTAAAAGGATGAAGAGGCCATTAAAAAAGTGACAGACAGTGGGCAGGTCCTGTGGCTCAAAGGAGTAAGGCGCCAGCCCCATATGCCAGAGGTGGCAGGTTCAAACCCAGCCCCGGCCAAAAACTAAAGAAAAAAAAAAAAAATTAGAAAAAAATGACAGACAGAGCTACTGTTTTGCCAGAGGAAATTTTCATTCCTAATATTCACTTGGATGTCACCTGAAAGCATACAGCTTTTAAATTAGTATACAAAAGTTTTTAAGAACTGACTTTGTATTTCTGTTAATGAAAAAGACTTCCCTGGACAGTGAATGAAAACAAGTGTCCCAGTGGCAGAATGAGAGGTGCTTTGTGAGAACAGGAGTCATGGATGTTCTGGGGGTCTTATTTAGAGTGGTGATTTCAGGAAGCATTACTTTCTTGGCTTTATTGTTTCCCTCTCAGGCAACTGGGTGTATTGAATTCGTCCTTTTTATGTCTGGGACAACCTGGTTGCAGAATTATATAAAGCAGTATTTTTCACCCTTTTTACCTCATGATACACTTAAATTTCTAGTTAAGCTTCCATGTTAACACTTAAATTATGTTGGTCACCAAAAAAATAAGTGTATAAAAATGAATATACTTAACTGTGCTTTGAACTTCTTTCAACAATAATTTAATGATCTCTGAAAATTTTCATGGCACACCTAAGATCCTCTCAGCATACCAATGTGCCACGGTACACCAGTTGAAAATTACTGATACAGGCCGAAGGAACAGGGAAAAAGCAACAAGAAGGAAGAGCAGTGGCGACACTGGATCGCAAAGTGCCCAGTCCGGAGGCGTTTCTGGGCAAACCCTGGTCCTCCTGGATTGATGTCACCAAATTACACTGCTTCAACAATGTAAATTTAGAAGAGGCTGGAAAAGAGGGTGGAAAAAGCAGGGAGGTTATGAAGCTTAATAAAGAAGCATGTAATGCAGTTCATGAAATGGGACACAGTGAGTGAATAGGTCATCCCAGACCAAGACATGCAAGTGAAGCGACGGTCTGCTGGAAGTGTGCATCAAACACACATGGTCATCATAAATAAATCATATCCTGTTCATGTTTGCAAACAAAAAAAAAAGAAAATTACTGATACAAAGCATTGTGCTTTGAAAATGCATACTACATTTGAATTAAACCATACATTTTTCTACTGAGTTACATGGCAGAAGGGAAATAAAGTACATTGAGAGCAATAGTTTTTGTATGGGTGGTGATTGATTTTACTTTTGTGAATTTTTAAAAGATGTATGAAGTTGGGTGGCACCTATGGCGCAAAGGAGTAGAGTGCCGGCCCCAAATGCTGGAGGTGGTGGGTTTAAACCCAGCCTCAGCCAACAAAAAAAAAGATGTATGAAGTATATCATTATACAATTCCAGGCTTTGAAAAGAATACATGAAAATTCACTTGACTCAATTTTCTCTTCCAGGTTATGGGACATAGAATGTGGTGCATGTTTGCGAGTGTTAGAAGGCCACGAGGAATTGGTTCGTTGTATTCGATTTGATAACAAGAGGATAGTCAGTGGGGCCTATGATGGGTGAGTTTGCTAACAGAGTTTAAAAAATATCCACATCTTCTTTTAATTTCAAAACATTAAGAGGTACAAATGTTTGTACATAGCTTTTATAATGCTCTAGTGAGGGCTGTAAAAAATCCACATCTTTACTCCTTCTGGTTTGTGATGTTAAACATAACTTTTCCTTGTCTCTAAAAGCTTTTAGATTTTATAGAAAGTATCTGGTACAATATTCCTTTCTCTAATCTACTTCTCCTTTGTTTACTCTGTTTGAAATATTCTTCTCAATCATTCTGTTGTACATATGATTTCCATTAATATTTTGGTTATTTGATTATATATTTGTTTGTTTTGCCCTATAAAACAAAGAATCAGACAAATCCAGTATAACAGGATATGCATGTAAAATGGTAACTTGTTAACAAAACAGAAACACTCAAGGGCAGTATTTGGGGCTCTTAGTGTGGTAGGGTCTTGAATTTTGATTTCTTTGAGTAATTTCTAAAAATATAGCTCTCTTGTCATCACTTCTCCTTCTGTTTCATTTAGAATGAATTCAGTCATCTGGATTTTTCTTCTTCTTTGTTTTTTTTGAGACGGAGCCTCAAGCTATCCCCATGGGTAGAGTGCCATGGCATCACGCTCACAGCAACCTCCAACTCCTGGGCTCAAGCGAGTCTCCTGCCTCAGCCTCCTAAGTAGCTGGGACTTCAGGCGCCCGCCACAACGCCTGGCCATTTTTTGGTTGCAGCCATCATTGTTGTTTGGCGGGCCGGGGTTGGGGTTTGGACCGGCACCTTAGGTGTATGTGGCTGGCACCTTAGCCGCTTGAGCCACAGGCACTGAGCCTGGATTTTTCTTCTAATTTTAGTGATTATGGAGTCCGTTCATGTTGTGACTAGATTCCATGTCCAACAATGCAAAGCACAGAATAAATATATACAAAAAGTATATTCACTTATGAAGGACTCTTATCATTTCTTCTTGTCAGAGTACCTGATTTGGGAGGTGAGGCATGGACAGCTAGAGTTCAGATATTGACAGTTTTTCATTAATAAATATCAGAAACTCCTTACAACATTATCTTAGTTTATGAGCTAACTACATTAATACATTAAGCCAACTCAAGCAGCAGGAAGTGTAGCCAACTCACTTCCTATTTGAGTCAGCCATCCTTGTCATGCCCTTAGAAAATTGTCTGGGGTGTGATGACATGTTCCATCTAGGTCAGGACTGTATTTTCTCATTGCCTTGTCTTTCATCTGTACCTACCTTTCTTAGGATTTGTCTGCAATATACTTGAGGAGACTATAAATTTGGGGGCTTTTTTTAGACAGTCTCACTTTATCACCCTGGGTAGAGAGCTATAGCATTGTCATAGCTCACAGCATGCTCTCAAACTTGGGCTTGAACAATCCTCTTGCCTCAGCCTTCCAAGCAGCTGGGACTACAGATATATGCCACCACGCCTGGCTTGTTTTTGTCTTTTTAGTAGATGGGATCTCTCTTGGCTCAGGCTAATCTTGTGAATTCCTTAGCTCAGGCAATCCACTTCAGCTTCCCAGAGTGCTAGGATTACAGGTGTGAGCCTCTGAGCCCAGCCTATAATTTATTTTTGAAATGGCTAGGATTTTCTTCCTTAAATCAAAATGTGTGGGTTTGCTTAAACTCCAGCACTCTTGAATGGACCTCAGCCCCCTGGTACATGTGACTTGGCCATTCTTAGAACTGACCAGAAAAAGGATGCCTCATTGTTATAGATTTCTATAATTAAGAGTTCTAATGTGTAAGAGCTCCTCTTGACCCAAAAGTATGGTGTAACTTTACCATTATCTTCAGTTTCATTAAAGCTAACCTGTTTCTCATTTTTAGGTTAATCAGGTACATTTTCCCCTGTTAAGACCAATAACCTCTACCCAAGAATGAATGCAAGAACCAAGTCTAGAAAACAAAAAAGTTTATATATATTCCTTGTGAGCTGGATTTATCATATAAACTATATTCACCATCCATGTTTATTGTGATTTTTTTTGCTATTTTCCCCTGTGTTCTCTTAATTTTGCACTGAACCTGAGATTTTTGTCCCCTTTTTGATCTTTAGGAAAATTAAAGTATGGGATCTGGTGGCTGCTTTGGACCCTCGTGCTCCTGCAGGGACACTCTGTCTACGGACCCTTGTGGTAAGAGCCTTGTTCAGAGGAGGTTGTAGAGTAGGTATGGGAAGAAATTAAATGTTGATGTGCTGTGGAATATAGATTTGGATTTAATAGTTAAAACTTAAAAAAACCTTCTACTAAGTGAAAAAGCAACCAATATTTGACAATAAAATATGTTTACATAATGCCTTTTATCCAATAGTGCTTTAGAGGCTGGGTATGGAGAGGAATGTGGCAGCTGTTTAACAGCTGCACAGCAACCCTATACAACGGTTTAGTACAGGAAGTGAATAAGAATTCTGTATCCATCAGAAACAGGAGGGGGTACTAAGGGATGAGAATATAATTGTTCAAATTGGAACCTGTCCAGAATCTAAGGACCTGCACACCTGTGCCTTCAAAAAGTACTCTGGGAATTTGCATGAACCCCTAGGTCTTAGACTAGATTCACCGTGCCCGGCCTCTATGTGCATATTGTTTTCATTTCTCTTGGGTAGATATCTAGGAATGTGATTTCTGGATCCTATGATAAGTATGCATTTAAATTTAAAAGAAACTACTAGGGTCTGGCTTAGTGGCTCATGCCTGTAATCCTAACACTCTGGGAAGCTGAAGCAGGTGGATTGCTTGAGCTCAGGAGTTCAAGACCAGCCTGAGCAAAAGTGAGACCATGTCTCCAAAAATAGCTCAGGTGTTGTGGCAGGTACCTGTAGTCCCAGCTATTTGGGAGGCTGAGGCAAGAGGATCACTTGAGCCTAAGAGTTTGAGTTTGTTGTGAGCTATGACACTATGGTGACAAAGGGAGACTCTGTCTCATAAAAAATAAAAATAAAAGAAATGACTGGCTGGGTTTGGTGGCTCGCATCTATAATCCTAGCATTTTGGGAGGCTGAAGCAGGAGGATAGCTTGAGCTCAGGAGCTTGAGTTACAGACTAGCCTGAGCAAGAGTGAGACCCCCATCTCTATTAAAAATATTAAAAATTAGCTGAGTGGAGTGGCACCTGTGGCTCAAAAAGCTAGGGTGCCGGTTCCATGTGCCGGAAGTGGTGGGTTCAAACCCAGCCCTGGCCAAAAACAGCAAAAAAAAAAAAAATTAGCTGAGTGCTGTAGTGGGCACCTCTAGTCCCAGCTACTTAGGAGGCTGAGGCAGGGAGATCACTTGAACCCAGGAGTTTGAGGCTGCTGTGAGCTAGGCTGATGGCATGGCACTCTAGCCTGAGGCAACAGAGTGAGACTCTGTAAATGAATGGATAAATGAATGAAATGAAATTACAGAGTGAGACTGTCTCTAAATAAATTTATTAAATAAACAAATAAAGGATAGTACAGAATGAAACTCTGTCTCTGAATGAATGAATGAAACTACCAAGGTATTTCCCAAAGTGGTGTTATGGGATTCTACAAATGTAAAACATTATGCATTTTCACTAACAATGTATAAGAGTTCCATTTTTCCACATCCCTGTCAGCACTTGGTATTGTATGTGTATATATGTTTTTTGGTTTTTTTTTACTGATATGTAAACATCTTAGTAGAGTGCAGTGGCATCACAGCTCACAGCAACCTCCAACTCCTGAGCTTAGGCGATTCTCTTGCCTCAGCCTCCCGAGTAGCTGGGACTACAGGTGCCGGACTATTTTTGTTGCAGTTCAGCTGGGGCGGGGTTCGAACCCACCACCCTCATTATATGGGGCTGCCCACTGGGCAACACTGAGGCACAGGCGCTGCCGTATTGTCAGTATTTTTAAAAATTACAGGCATTTGAGTGGGTATATAGCAGTATCTCATTGTAATTTTAATTTGCATTTCTATTGCAGCTAATTATGTTGAACATATTTTTGTGTGCTTATTTTTTACAAATTGTACATCAGATCCTGTGACTTTATTAAGTTTCTGAAAATGAATTTATTGAGTTATAATTGGACATATTGAAAGTGTACAGAGTTGGCTCGGCACCTATAGCTCAACTGGCTAAGGCGCCAGCCACGTACACCTAAGGTGGCGGGTTCGAATCCCCAGCCCGGACCCACCAAAACAACAATGACAGCTGCAACCAAAAAATAGCCGGGTGTTGTGGCGGGCGCCTGTGGTCCCAGCTACTTGGGAGGCTGAGGCAGGAGACTCGCTTGAGCCCAGGAGTTGGAGGTTGCTGTGAGCTGTAATGCCACGGCACTCTACCCAGGGAGACAGCTTGAGGCTCTGTCTCAAAAAAAAAAAAAAAAAAGAAAGTGTACAGAGTCACTAATTTTGACACACGTATATCCTGGTGAAACCATAGATTAAAGATATCCTTATGCCCTGTAATCTTCCTTTCTTTCTCACCCATCCTACCCAATCTCCAGGTGACTATGGAATTATAGTCTATCAACATTGCTCAATTTTATTTTCTAGAGTTTTATAAAAATGGAATCATACATTATGTACTTTTTTGCCTGTCTTTTTTCATTAACTATAATTATTTTGAGATTCATCCCTGTTGTTGCATTCCATTATTTTTTGTTTTGTTTGAGATAGAGTCTTACTATGTCACCCTCAGTGAGTGCTATGGCATCACAGCTCACAGCAACCTCTAACTCTTGGGCTTAAGTGATTCACTTTCCTCAGCCTCCCAAGTAGCTAGGACTCCAGGCACCTGCTACAATGCCTGGCTGTTTTTTTGTTGCAGTTGTCGTTGTTTAGCAGGCCTGGGCCAGGTTCAATTCCGCCTACCTGTGTGTATGCGGCCAGCACCCTAACCACTGAGCTATGGGCCAGGTTCAAACCGCCTGCCTGTGTGTATGCAGCCAGCACCCTAACCACTGAGCTATGGGTGCTGAGCCAAGTAGTATTCCATTGTATGCTTTTACCACAATTTATTCGTCCATTTGCCATTTGATGAACATTTGGGTTATTAAACATTTTTTGGCTATTCCACATATAATTTCTATAAACATTTACATGCAAGTCTCAGGATGAGCCTATGCTTTTATTTCTCCAGGGTGAATACCTAGGAGCAAGATGACTAGGTTTTATGGAGAGCATATGTTTAATATTTTTAGAAACTCCCAGACTGTTTTCCAAAGTGGCTGTACCATTTTACATTACAGTAAATAGTATATGTGAGTTCCAGTTATGCCATACCCTCACCAATACTAAGCATAGTCTTTTCAGTTTGATGTATCCTAGTAAGTATGGTATCAAGAATAGGACTTCATTGTGGTTTTTATTTGTATATCCCTAATGACTAATAAGGTTGAGCATCTGAGGACCAGGCACAGTGGCTCATAATCCCAGCACTCTGGGAAACTGAGGCAGGCGGATTGCCTGAGCTTACGAGTTTGAGATCAGCCTGAGCTAGAGCTAGACCCCCTAAAATAGTTGGGGTTTGTGGTGGCCACCTATAATCCCAGCTACTCAGGAGGCTGAGGCAAAAAAATCATTTGAGCCCAGGAGTCGGAGGTTGCTGTGAGCGATGATGCCACAGCTCTCTACCGTGGGCAACAATGTGAGACTCTGTCTCAAAATAATAATAATGATAATAATAATCATGTTGAGCATCTGTTAATGTGATTGCCATTTGTATATACTTTGATGGTCTGTTCAAATGCTTTGCCCATTTATACTTGAGTGGTTTTTTTTTTTTTTTGAGTTGAGACTTTTATACATATTCTGGATTGTAAGTCCTTTATTAGATTTGTGATTTGTAGCTATTTTCTCTCAGTCCATAGCTTGTTTCTTCATTATCTTAAAAGTGTCTTTGGGTCAGGTACAGTGGCTCACACCTGTAATCCAGGCACTTAGGAGGTGCTAAGGCACGTGTATTATCTGAGCTTAGGAGTTCAAGACCTGCCTAAGCTAGAGTGAGACCCTATCTCTAAAAATAGCCGGGTGTTGTGGCAGGTGCATGTAGTCCCAGCTACTTGGGAGGCTAAGGCAAGAGAATAGCTTGAGCCCAAGAGTTTGCGGTTGCTATGAGCTATGATGCCACGGCACTCTGCAAGGGCAACCAAGTACGACTGTCTACAAAAACAAAAAAGAAAAAAAAGAAATGATTCCTCTCTACCCATCCCTGGAAAGGAATCTTATAATTTTGGGTAAAAGAAGCCATACTGTACAAATGTATTTATGTGAAATTTAAGAACAGAAGAATTGAATTAATAATGTTAACATTCGGCAGGCTCTGCGGCTCACGTCTATAATCCTAACATTCTGGGAGGCTGAGGCAGGTGGATTGCCTGAGTGTGAGAGTTCTAGACCAGCCTAAGCAGGAGAGAGATCCCATCTCTATAAAAATAGCTGGGTTTTGTGGCGGGCACCTGTAGTCCCAGCTACTTGGGAGGCCAAGGCAAGAGGATCACTTGGGTAGGGTGACCAGATTTTAACATTTGTAAAGCGGGACAACATGGTGTGGGAGGGGGGGCTGACAACAATGCAAACTTTGATAAGCAGTTCTCGATAATCACTTCTCAACAATTATTTGTTGTTATTACAGTTTAACATTATAAAATTAACAAAAATAACATAAAACTCATATTCTGGCGAAATAGCCACATGGCAGCTGAAAACCGTATATTCCCTTCCTGTTCTCCCGCCTGTTCGTGCAGTCTTTCCAAAAATCAGGACTTTTTAAAAACGCCACAGGATGCGGGACAAATTGTTAAAAAGTGGGATGTCTGGTCACCCTACACTTGGGCCCAAGAGTTTGAGGTTGCTGTGAGCTATGACACCACGACACTCACTCTAAAGTGAGACCCTGTCTCAAAAAAAAAAAAAAAAAAAGTAACATTGGAGTAAAGGTAATATTGACTAATAAGCATTGTGAGATTACTTTCCAGGATACTGGAAACATTCTACATCTTGATTCAGGTGGTGGTAATAACTAGTGGTGTGCTAGAATAGACTGATACTCTCTTATGAGAGCCAACTATTATATACTCACGAATTTTATATGCTGGTTGACCATACGTGGGTAGCTTGAAACTCACTTAAGAGTTTTTATGCCTGCTTGGAGCTGGAGGCTCAAGTGACTAAGGCGCCAGCCACATACACCTAAGGTGGCAGGTTCGAATCCAACCTGGGCCGCCAAACAACAATGACGGCTGCAACCAAAAATAGCCAGGCATTGTGGCAGGCGCCTTGGGAGGCAGGGGCAGGAGACTCACTTGAGCCCAGGAGTTGGAGGTTGCTGTGAGCTGTGATGCCACAGCATTCTACCCAGGGCGACAGCTTGAGGCTCTGTCTCAAAAAAAAGAGTTTTTATGCCATGAAAATCCACCAATGGTTTTACAAATTGAGGAAATTTCCTTGGTAAGTATTTATCAGCACAGTTATTGCTTATGAACCCCTGGCCTCTGCTTGTATAAGGAACTTAAAGACACAGAGAAAAAAGAAGGCCAGGGAGGTACTAATGAATGCTTTCATCCAGCCTAAGCCGAAGGACGTTGTCAAGGAGAATCTAGCATGCTATTTAATGTGTTTTGGCCAAAGAATATTCCATTGTTTAAGTTGCTTTTTCATTTTACCTTTGACCAAAGTAAATTTTCTCTCTATATTTTTGAAACTGCTAAATGATAGGAAAAAATTAACAGTATAATCTTTTCCATAGACACCTTTTGACATGTTGCTGAATTTATGTCCTTTTTGATTGTAAGTAGTTCAAATTCTTACCCTTTTTGTTTCTGCATCTTTAGGAGCATTCCGGAAGAGTTTTCCGACTTCAGTTTGATGAATTCCAGATTGTCAGTAGTTCACATGATGACACAATTCTCATCTGGGACTTCCTAAATGATCCAGCTGCACAAGCAGAACCTCCCCGCTCCCCTTCCCGAACATACACCTATATCTCCAGATAAATAACCATACACTGACCTCATACTTGCCCAGGTATGGAAAAGAGTTATATAATATGTAACACTGTGCATAGGAGATGGAATACTGGCAGTAAGCTGTTGCTAAATTCATGGAGCTTTCTCATGCCTTTTGTCTCACCAAGTCCTGTAAAGCAGAGGAACCAGACAATGTAAGACAAGGCTGGAACTGCCACAGTGGATGGTATCTTTCACTAATATAGCCAGCCTCATTTCTAGATGATTCTGGACTCCTACTTGTATGGTAGAACTAATCATTCCTGCCCTAAGTATCTAGTAAGATTATTATGAAAATAAATAGATTTAAATCAGTTTGAAAACAAAGTACTATAATAACCCAAAACCCTGTGATTTTGTACAGATCAAATAATACCTGTAATAGAGTCCAGGTGTGGTGCCTCTCACCTGTAATCCTAGCATTCTAGAAGCCAAGGTAAGAGGATCACTTGAGCTCAGGAGTTCAAGACCAGTCTTAGCAAGAATGAGTCCCCGTTTCTACAAAAAGTAAAAAAACTAGCCAGCCATGATGATATGTACCTGTAGTCCCAGTTACTCAGGAGGCTAAGTCAGTAGGATCACTTGAATCCAGAGGTTTGAGGTAGCCATGAGCTGTAATGACACTCCTGCCCTCCAGCCAGGGTAACAGAGACTCTGTCTCAACCCCCCCCCCCCAAAAAAAAGATACTCACAATAGAGACCCTTTGAGCCAAGTAGATGATCTAATGCAGGGGTCCTCAGACTTTTTAAACAGGGGGCCATTTCACTGTCCCTCAGACTGATGGAGGGCTGGACTGCGGGCCCCGGGATGTGACAGCAGTGGCAAAAACACCCAGTGGGCCAGATAAATGTCCTAGGCGGGCTGTAGTTTGAGGATGCCTGATCTAATGTGTGAATGGAATTATCTCTTGGTAAGATTTCACACTGACATCTAGGCAGCCCTGCCTTATTAATATCATTCAGTTATAAAAAGTGCCTTTTTATCCTTAGCTCCACTCTCCACCCTGCTACAAAAAGAAGTCCTGTCTTTTGACCTCAGAAGTAGCTCTGAAGGTTGTAAGAAATCATTGTTCTCCTACTCAGGTCTCAAACCTCTTGCTCAAACAGGGCAAGATTCTAAAAATACCAGATTGCCTATACATACTATAGTATGTTCAGATCATACCGGAAGTCCTAACCAGTTCAAATGCCCTAGGTTATCACAGGTTTGGGAAAGCTGCACTAGCCTCTGTGAGCATTGCTGTGGTTAGGATTTCTGTCTCCCGTTCTTGATTCAGTTCTCGTGGTAGTGCACATTCATTGCACTTGCACTTCTCTGAACCTCTTTTTGCAGTGTTTCTTCTGAGGGAGGTGGTTCACACCCAGCTAACCTCCCTCACCTCAGCACTCCCTGCTCTCACAGAGGACATAGTGCTTCTTTGTTCTTAAGCTTCCTCAGCCAAATCACACAGGCCTTGGACAAGTAGCCTCCCAGGGCCTGCAGTACCTAGCTCAGAGAGCTCTTGCGGGGACTGCATGGAGATACTGTATGGAAGTCTTAGTGCTTAGTGCAGTGCCTAGCACATGACACACCTTCAGCAAAAAGTGGTTTTTATTATCAATATTGTGATCACCATATACCCATGCCCTCCTTTCGCCAGATTTCTCTCTTCCTTTTAATTCCATGGCATTTTGCCATTTTTACTTTTCTTCCTAGCTCTCTAATTGATTGTTTGTGTCTCCTTCAGCCTCTCACTCCTAAAAGAGAGTCTATATCTGGCTTTTTCTTCCTAATCTAAGTTCCCCTTCTTGAGAATAAGTTTGCTAGATCTCTTCCCATAGCTTTAGCTCTCATCTCAATGTAAATGACTCTCAAATTTTCATCTCCAGTTCTAACCTCTACATTACTCTCCCAGTCACATTTCCAGCTCTTATCTACACATCTGTCCTTGAAGATACTAAGAGCACTTCTGTTGCTCCTATCCTCAGTCAGACTATCCCCTCAGCCACATAGCAGGGCCAGCTTCCTTCAACCCCCCCACTTCTATTAGTGGCACCGCTGTTTTCATGGCTCCTTGGGGTAGAGTGCCCTGAGACAGACAGACAGACAGACAGACACACACACACACACACACACACACACCTGCAATCCAGAGATCAGGTGAAAGCTATACCAACCATGGTCAGTCTTAGCCTCAAGACATAACTTTGTTTGAACACCACAGCCCTCAGCAAGCCTTTTGTTTATTTTTATTTGTATTTTGAGACAGAGTCTTTTGCCTTGAGTAGAGTTCCATGGCATCATATCTCATAGCAATGTCAAACTCTTGGGCTTGAGCACTCCTCTTGCCTCAGCCTCCCAAGTAGCTAGGATTATAGGTGCCTGCCATAACATCCAGTTTGTTTTTCTATTTTTAGTGGAGACAGGGTCTCGATCTTGCTTAGGCTGGTCTCAAACTCCTAAGCCCAAGCAGTCCACCTTCCTCCACCTCCCAGAGTGCTAGGATTACAGGCATGAGTCACCACACCCAGCCAAACCATACCTTTTGTATAAGTCCCTTATCAGACCAGGTAGGCTGGGACAGAAGCTCTTGCATAACATGGATGAGGAGCAGACATTAGGAAGAACCCTAAGTCTCTCTCCTAATTAGCAACAAAGTGAATATTTTCTTCATAGAGCAGGTAAAGAAGGGGAAGGGAGCTAATAACTGTTTGCTCTGTTTTTATGCAGGACTCATTGAAGTTGCGGTATTTAACATATCTGCCAACACCAGGAAGAGCAACAACGGTAACAACCAAACAACTACCCAGTTTCCCTGGACTATCCTAGGAGCAGGGTTTTGAGACTCCTGTTGGAACACAGTTGGTCTGCAGTCGGCCCAGGATGCTCTACTCAGCACGGCTGACTGCTTTAGTGCTGCTATCAGAAGATGTCTTCTATCTTTCATGAATGATTGGAACTTTTAAACCTCACTTCCCTTCCTCTTTTCCCCTGTGCACCTATTTTTCCCCATTGGTTCCAGAGAAAGATGACTTATAAATATATTTAGTGTTTTGCCAGAATCTCTCTTGCTTTGCCATTAAGCAGAAGGAACTACTTTCCCTATATAGGCTACTGGGAGAGACCCACTTCTAGGGAAGAGGGGTATACATCTTCAATGCAGACAGAGCCCAGTGTCTTCCTGTTCACTGCAGGAATGCTCAGCACCTGGCCACATAAGCCCAGCCCCACTATACATAGGAGGACGCAGAGCTGTGTGTATAGCCTCCAGGGCAAGGAAAGAAAATGCACACACCAGAAGTTCTGGCTTTCCTGCCTCCCTTCTGTTTCCCTGTTTCTGTCCCTCTTTCTTGCTGTCTCCCACTCTCCTAACCCGTTTCTCTGCTCCACCTGAGAAGAAGGTATATGAAGAGAGTGTCCTCAGTTTGCATAGGCCAGATCAGCTAGGAAATGCAGCACTTGGAAGAGTTAAATGCTATTCAATCAAAATTCCAAACCCAGGCTTTTGCTGCAATTGACCCTGTGGCAACAGTGGATTCTTGGACGTGATACTCTCATCATATTTGTGACTCTTCTCTCTTTTCTTTCCTCCCACCCAAAGGCAGTGGGTGGGGGGAGCAGAAATTTCCTGGGCTTCATCAATGGCTGCATCTTTTCTGGACTCAGCAGTCTCCTTGATTCCATGTAGAGTGTGGAAAGGAGTTGCTGATTACATTTCCTCTCATTAACAATTAGGTGTGTGTGTTGGCTCGGCGCCTGTGGCTCAACCGGCTAAGGCGCCAGCCACGTACACCTAAGGTGGCGGGTTCGAATCCCCAGCCCGGACCCGCCAAAACAACAATGACGGCTGCAACCAAAAAAAAAAAAAAAAAAAATAGCCGGGCGTTGTGGCGGGCGCCTGTGGTCCCAGCTACTTGGGAGGCGGAGGCAGGAGACTCGCTTGAGCCCAGGAGTTGGAGGTTGCTGTGAGCTGTGGTGCCACGGCACTCTACCCAGGGGGACAGCTTGAGGCTCTGTCTCAAAAAAAAAAAAAAAAAAAAAAAAAAAAAAAAAAAAAAAACAATTAGGTGTGTAATAAAAAGCATTGTACTTCATCTTAAATCACTGGTAAGGCTCAACCTACAGAAAGGTTCAAAACGGCCAGAGCCAGTCGCTTGGTGCATTCTGCATATAATAGTTCCCATCTCCAGTTTCCTCAGCAGGGACTGTGTATACCCAGGTATTACCAAGACCCTAATCAGAGTAATTTAAGAGATGGTCAGAAGTAAAAACTGATTTTTTCATTTACGCCAGTAAATATCATCTTTCAAACATTAATCTAACCATCTCATGCTTGCACCACAGAACCTTCCCTCTGTTTCATCCTTAGCTGGAATGTGCAAAAGGGCAAAGCTGTCTGAGAGAGAGGATCAGGGTGAAGTTTGGCAGACAGGGTTTATTAATGGGCAGAAACTGCCTTCTCTTTGTTTTCCCTCCTGGCCTTATTTTGCTCTTTACTTTTCCCCAGCCAATAAAAATTTCTCTAGCAGTTGGTAAACAACATAAACAAATGGACCGGGTGGTGCCTGTGGCTCAAGGAGTAGGGTGCCAGTCCCATATGCTGGAGGTGGTGGGTTCTAACCCAGGCCCAGCCAAAAAAAAAAACAAAAACAAACGGACCTCAGCAAGGGCCAGGTTAACCTGGCCACTTAGAAGGCAGCTGTATGGGCTTCCAAGCAAGCAGGCTTCAGGTGCAAGGGCACTTGTGCCATACTGACCTGAGAACACAGGAAATACTATTAATGTGCCCCCATCTTGTTTCCCCAGTATGCATGGGTCTGCATAAGCCATCTGGGGTAGCATAGGCAGGCCTGGCCAAAGCCCTGAGGCCACAGCACAGTCTCATTTTCGTTGGAAACTGAATAGTCAGGCCCATTGTTTTCATTCCTGATCAAAGCAGTTGAGGGCAAGGAAGCCACTGTTTAACCAGCTGCTATAAAAACAGCAAAGTGAGAGCCAGTTGCAAGTGACCTAAAGCCAGGCCACCATTAGCTCAGCAAGAGGGGACCAGGGAGCCCCTTCACTCTTACTCTGTTTTGCAACAAGGTATCCTCTTCCCATTATGTATCCAGACTGAATGTTGTTACTACATATGGAGAAGCAGGTTATGCATATGCATTTCACTTTTCCTTTTTCCTACTAAATATTTTTAAGGTTTTAGTTCCAGGTTATGTTTAGAAAATATTTTCCTGTGTCGTGATACTTTGTTGCCTGAGAAATATTTTCAGTATAATTCCCTTACTAGCTATCCAAATATTACAGAGAAATGTTTTCTACTAGCCACTGTCAGGATTCCTCATCTGTTGTGGAGGACTATTAGTGGCTTTTCGATTGGCTAAGCATTTTGTTACAGATGAAGGTAGAGGGCTGTCCGCCCTGAAAAATACACAGGTCAGACATCACAGAGGCATGAGTTTCAAGCTGTGTCAAAATATTGTCCAATAGCCATAACTTTACTAGCCCTTTTCCTATATGCTGCTATTCAAAAGTGGGAGCTGTTGAATATTCATTAGTGCCTGGGGTTTTGTTCTCCTATCTAGGTTCTGTTGAAGGTATATTGTTGCTGAGACCATTTTGAAACTTGTCCAGTACTTAATAGATGAGAGCAAGGGTAGACCCTGCAGATGTGGCTCCATTAGCTCAGTTGAGGATATTCTCCTGGTTGTCCTCTCTGCGGCTGTTGGAAATAGGAATGAAGTTAAGTGGTCTGAAAAACTTGAATCATTCACATTTCTCAGCTCTGGGGGTCATTTACCAGTTCATTGTAAAGGAATAATCAGGTAAGTAGAAGTTCATTTCCAGAGAAGGTAAACCCCACTTACCATCTCTGCATGATTTCAGTGGGAATTGATTATTACTAATCCCCAACTGGGCTAGAATAAATGTAAAGTTTGACCTTTTTAAAAAGAAAAGAGAAACAAAGAAAGTCTCAACACATTTAAAGTAATGGAGAAAAGGAGCTGAAGGTGCCCCTCAGCTCTGAAATGAAATGTCCCCACTGTAGATTAGTTTCTCTTCATTAAAATTCACTTCTCAATGTTAGGGCCTGAAAGAAACCTTTCTTAAAAAAGGCTGAGACCCCTTCACAAGGGTTGAGAAGGATAGTGCATGCACCTACACCTGTCGCAGACACATGTGACCTCTTGGTTCACGCTGGGGCAGCTTGAAGAAGACCAGTGTGCCTTGCTGCACGTGTAGGTATTTCACTGCTGAAAACATCTTTTTACTTTCTGTGCAATTTGAAAGTGGATATGAATTATGGGTGGGGGGGGCCTTTTTTACACTTGGTCCCTTGGCAAAATTCTTTATGGTGTCTCCTTCAAAAACAGAGATTCTCTTTAAAACTCTATTGACAAGTAATAAAGTCTGGCCCCCAGAGCTTGTTTCTGAACTGAGAAAGACCCTGACACCCTTAAATCATTCTGTTTTTGCTTGAGTAAGAACAATCATTGTTTTCTTTTGTACAATCTAAAGCAGGAAAAACAATGCACTCTTCCTTTGCCAACTTCTAGTACCATTCATTGGTCTGAACCCGTGGTTGATCTGCTCTTTAGCACTGGATTATGTGGGTGGAGGGCTTGGGGTAGGGGCTATGAGAAACATTGGAAATAATGAAGGCTGCTTTCGTTTTTCTTTCCTAGAATTGGATTAGATACCTTGATATTGTTGACCTTCTTAACATCTTCCTTTTGCCTTAGATGTCAATACCCTCCGGCCTGAAGTGGAACAGTCCAACCTAGACTAGTGCAGCCTTGAGGGCTAGGCTGCAAGCCTGATTCTAGAGTAATCCAACGTACTTATAGGGAGAAAATGGTATGCTTAGCTACTCACCTCCTGTGACCATCACATTCTCTGATGAGTACCATATCTCTTTAATTCACATTTTAGATCTCCTTTCCCATTTGGATTTCAGCAGACTTTCAAGTGCACCCAGAGACCACAGCCTGAGTTAATCTCCATGGGCTTTATCCACACAGCTAATAACTGACAGACCAGACCCTTTACTTTAACCACAATCTCAACCTTATTCTAGAAAGATAGCCAACTCTTAAGGGAATAAGTCTGCTCATTGTTACCTTTACCTGTAGTTCATTTGTGACGTCAGAATCCTTGGAGCTGAGGAGATAAATCAAAAGTGCATGAATATAGTTGCCCAATTTCAGATGGAACTTACTGCATTGATACCTAAAATACTCTTCTGTTGGACATTGGGTACCTATGATCTGAAATTTCCTGGAGGCAAATGACATCTGAAATGTGTGCTTTCTGACCAGTCCAGCTGGCTCTCTTAGCTCCTGATTGGCTATATGTGTGTTTTATTAAGGATCAGTGCAGTAAATGGCATTCTAAAAGTGTTATTTTCTCTCCTAACCCTTCCCCTTCTTAGACACTGAAGAGAAAGACCAACTAGGAGGTTAGAACTTTGGGTACCAAAGAAAAATCTTTCCAAGTCAGTGATCACTTAAACCCAACTCAGACTGATCTGAGAGGTGGTCTGTGGACTTCAGCTGTGGAAACAGGCCTGGCAACAATTGCGAGCTTCCCTGAGAGCTTTCGGTTGGTTCAGTTCTTTGTTCTCTAGATTCTTAAGTACTGACTGCTTTGACCTTTGTGATTATTATGTTATGGTGATGTGTAGTCAATGTACCAATCTGTTCACAACCTAGGATCATGGTAATAGAATGTGTTTTGGTTTTTTAACTGTTCAGAAAAAAAGTAACTTAAATTACAAATATAAGATTAAAGTGAATATTTTAAGTGTCTTGTTTATTTGCCCCAACATCAATAGGACAGTAAGTTTTTTAATGGGCAAATTGAGGGAGTACACGGATTTAATAACTTTTAAGATAATCTGATATGGTGTAGCAAGCTTGAGAGAAGTCAGAACTAGATGATGTCAATAAGTGCAGGGTCCTTGTCATAATAAGCACTATTTCATGTTGAATTAAATTGAGGCCAAAGTGGTATCTAATTTTTGAATGGGTCGCCATAGCTAACCATAGCCCAACCTGAGCCCAGAATTTAAATTTTTCTCTGAAGAAAGAAGATTTGAGTTTCCCATGCTTCCCACTTGATCAGTTATAGACAAATGAGCAATTTCAGAGAAACTCCAATAAGCTGTAAGAATGAAGGCATCATTGGTCATCTGGGGGATAACATTGCTGCTCCCAAGTGAGCTCTCCTTGCCTCCCTCCTTAAACCAAATGTAGGGAGATAAGTACAAGGTGGCAGAACATGACAGAGGGGGCCTCTTTCCCCTTCATCCTCTTCCCACCCCTTCTCTAGTGTCACAAATAGGACCTTCTCAAAACTGACACATCAGCTCGGCACCTGTGGCTCAAGTGGCTAAGACTCCAGCCACATATACCTAAGGAGGCGGGTTCGAATCCAGCCCGGACCCACCAAACAACAATGACGGCTGCAACCAAAAAATAGCCGGGCGTTGTGGTGGGCACCTGTGGTCCCAGCTACTTGGGAGGCTGGGGCAGGAGACTCGCTTGAGCCCAGGAGTTGGAGGTTGCTGTGAGCTGTGAAGTCATGGCACTCTACCCAGGGGGATAGCTTGAGGCTCTGTCTCAAAAAACAAAAAAAAACTGACCCATCTTGGCTTGGTGCCTATAGCTGAGCAGCTAGGGCGCCAGCCGCATACACCAGAGCTGGCAGGTTTGAACCCAGCCCAGGCCTGCCAAACAACAATGA